AGGTGGGCGTGGGTGTGTGTGTGTGTGTGTGTGTGTGTGTGTGCATCCTCTGATGGAGTGGCCTCCTTTTTCCAGAGTGGGTGGGTTCCTGCCCAGTGCACTGAGCTGCTGGGGTCAGCCCAGCCACCACGACCCTGAGCTGGAATAAGTAGGTTGAAAATAATTATCTTACTTGCTTTTATTAATCTTTCTTAAATATACTCACATTTAACTCAATATGTAATATTAGAAGCGTTTTGGGTCTTCATTTGTAAGTATTTGATGTTTCTGTGATCAGAAATATGCATAGAACTACTGTTTGTGTCAATTAGTCTATGGTAAAATTGGTTTCATTATATGTCATTGCAATTAAACTCACAGTTTCCAAGAACCTACTGATGATGTTAAGTGAGGACTCATTTAACTGTATATATTTTGGATATTAATCCTTTGTCAAAGCTGTTGTTTGCAAATATCATCTCCCATTTTTCAGTTACCTTTTTGTTTTGTTGTCAGTGTCTTTTGCTCTGCAGAAGCATTTAAGTTTGATATAATCCCATTTATTCATTTTTGCCTTTACTTCCTTTGGGGTCAAATTTTCTAGGAAAAATATATTATGTTATCTAATAATACTCCAGTAATGAACTACTTCAACCTTTGACTAACTAGAACCTTGCGAATAATATTTCAAATGATCGTATTTCTGGTGCCTGTCGCTATGTTGGTTCTCAGTTATGAAGCCCTGTTTCCTTGTAAAAGGGAGCTGCTTTTTCATCTTGGAACTTTTTCTGGGAGAAGCCTTTGAAGCCCAGGGTCAGAATTTCTTCAAAGAGGCTTTTCTAGTTTGACTGTGAATTGGAAATCCATGATGGCTGACTGTGCTAAGGATTCTTAGGAAGGAATGCTGAGTGAAACCCAGAGATTTTCCTTGCTGTAACGTCTGTGTTAAGGAATTCATTTGTACAGGTGAGGACTGATCTTGGGAATCTAGCATTACATGAACGTATGTGTGGGCTGGGGAGACTGGTAAGCGTTCAGATTTCCCTACTCTCTCACTCCTGACACACACTGTGTATTATTCAATGAAACAAGTCCTCTTTTGGTAAAAGTTTGTACATCAGAATTCCTGTTTTTGCTTTGTTTAATAAGTCTGATTTTTTGCTTTCTTAGCAATTTTATATTTCACCCAAAATTTTAAATATTTCTATTGGACATAAAAACATGTCTATAGCTCTAAATTTATGCAAAGGAATTCTCTAGGAAACATGAGTCTTTAGTTTTCTTATATAATAACGTAACTTAGATATTCATCCAATAATACATTTATTTTGAGGTCAATATCTGAGCTGTATTTATATGTCATTGTTCTTCTCCAGCTTTGTTTGTGCTGTTTATAATGTATCATGTGCCTTATTATATAGTGAGTAGATAAGTTTATCAGTCCTTTTTTTTATCATTTCTGGGTTACTTATCTTCTATAAAAGGACTTTCATCCTCTAAGATTATAACATAACCTCAACGTTCTTCGAGTGGATTTATAGCCCTGTCCTACCTTCCTGTTTCTGAGGCTTGTTTGGACTCTGCTTTCTACCAGTTACCAACTGAACTTATGCAATGCCTAATTGTGCAAAAGAGTAAATCTCCCCAATTCCTGACCCTAGACTTATCTTTGCAACTTCTAAGCAAATCTACTCTGGATTTTTGTTTTTCAATATAACAGAAACATTCTCAAGGAACTTGAAATTTCAAAAATATTACTCTGGATTTTTGTTTTTCAATATAACAGAAACATTCTCAAGGAGCTTGAAATTTCAAAAATATGTCTCTTTCAAATTAATGAATTGTATATGATTTTATAACTGAATATAACCCTGGATATAACTATGTCACACTTAGAACACAGAATTATTAATATTATCCTTTACTTCCAAATGATACTTTTCAAACTGCTAAATATCATTCTTAGAAATTTAAAGTATTATTTCTTCATTTCCTTCCTCCACCAAACAACTCCCTTCATAAGCTTGTGTCCCTCCTCAGTTCACCCTTACCACCTAAGATCCATCTCCCTTATAGGTGTACAATAAGTGTTGGCTTAACTGACACATTTTCTGCAATAATGTGTAAACTCCTTTTGAATTGGAATTGTATCTTACTTATCTCATTATTTCTTGTGCATTGTATAGAATCTGGCACATACTTATGCTAAAATTGCTTCTTGAAGGCATGACATATTCAAGGATTTGGAGACAAATTGGGTTGAATGGATGGATGGATGGATACAAAAATCTATATTTCTGAATTTACCACCCTCCCTCTCTTGAGATTGAAGCATTCACGAGTCAAATTGGTATCTCCACAGACTTGTGCAATCATTAACTCACACATTGCAGGTCAAAAACTCTTCCTATAGCTACTCTTTCTTTAGTGCTTCATAATTTTTCTAGACTCATTATCATAAAAATTTATAAAGAACTTATAAAACTCAACACCAAAAAATAAACAATCCAATTAGAAAATGGGCAAAGGACCTGAAGAGACACTTCTCCAAAGATGACACACAAATGGCCAAGATATGCTCAACATCACTAATAATCAAGCAAATCAAATTAAAACCACAATGAGATATCACCTCACACCTGTCAGAATAGCTATCTTCAATAAATCAACAAACAGCATGTTGGCAAGCATGTGAAGAAAAGGGAGCCCTCATGAATGTTGGTAAGAATGCAGATTGGTACAGCTACTATGGAAAACAATATGGAGTTTCAACAAAAACATTAAAATTTGAACTTATGACCCTGTGATTCACTTCTAGGTATATATCCAAAGAATCCAGAAACACTCATTTGAAAGAATATATGCACCCTTATGTTCATTCCAGTATTATTTTAATAGCCAATATTTGGAAGCATCCCAATTGCCCATCAGTAAATGAGTAGATAAAAATCATTGGTGCATTTACAAAATGGAACATTCCTCAGTGGTAAAAAGAAGAAGAAGAAGAAGGAGAAGGAGAAGGAGAAGGAGAAGGAGAAGGAGAAGGAGAAGGAGAAGGAGAAGGAGAAGGAGAAGAAGAAGAAGAAGAAGAAGAAGAAGAAGAAGAAGAAGAAAATCCTACCTTTAGTGACAGTATTTATGTACCTGAAGAATATTACGCTCTTTGAAACAAGCCAGTCAGAAAAAGACAAGTACCATATGAGTTTACTTACATTGAAATCTAATGAACAAATAACCTAACAGACAAAATAGAAAGAAGCTTATAGACACAGAGAAAATACTAACAGCTCTCAGAGGGGGAGGGTTTTGAGAGACTGGGTGATGAATATAAAGGGATTAAGCAAAAAAGAGAAAGCTCACAGTATGGTGATTATTAGAGAAAAAGGTAGGTAGAGGGAAGTACAAGAGGGTAAAACCAGGATAAATGATGATGGAAGGAGAGTTGACAGGGTGGTGAACACAAAATACAATATACAGATGCTGTGCTACAGAATTGTATACCTGAAACCTATATAATTATATGAACCAACATCACTCCAATAAATTCAATTTGAAAAAAAAAATGTTTTTTTTTTCTGCACTGCTCTGAGTAAACCTCAACTCTAATCATACTGAAGTGATGTTTACTTAAGTGGCCATGATTTCCGCATAGTCATTCTTTTTCCTTCATTTACCTTCAGAAACCTCCTCTCACCCTGCCATCTGGGCTCAGCTGAAATGCCTCCTCCAACCTGAACCCTTGTCTATGTTTCTTCACAGTGGAGTGACAGCTTCTTCTGGTGCCCTGAAACACTATAATATTTAGTATATTCATCCTGTTATTACGTACTATATGTCTTATCCACATACCAGCAATACCAGCATGTAATTATCTTTCTGACAAAACCTATAGTGTATGTTTCCCCAAATTATCAATCATCTTGTTCCATAAAATATACCATGTTATTTACTAGATCCACAAAAATGGGTTACTCTACTATATTTTAAAAATTGCCAATTAAAAATATTTTTCTATTTTAACATAATGAAACAAACTGCTAGAATACTGCAAACATGGCCTACAAAATATTTAAATATTTCAGATCTTCTCCTGAGCAAGTATCATGTAGTAGTGGGCCCAGTCAATAACACTGACAAAGTTCTGTGCATCTGTCAGTCACCAGAGCAGTTAATTTTTAACTTTATGTTTAAATTGCCACTTCACCTCTGTGCCCAGCAAATATTCACCCGCAGCAGCCCAGTGGGTGAAAGAACTCTGCCATGCTGTCCGAGAAGTGGATTTCAGCGGCCCTGCTGCTGCAGCTCTGCTGCACTGGCTCTGGATCCTGTGGGAAGGTCCTGGTGTGGCCCTGTGACATGAGCCATTGGCTCAATCTAAAGATCATTCTGGAGAATCTCGCAGACAGGGGGCATGAGGTGACCGTGTTGGTTTCTCCAGACTCGCTCATCATTGACTACAGTAAGCCTTCCACACTGAACTTTGAGGTGATCCCTATATCTCAGGGTCATGGAGAGATTAAAAAATGTAATGCTTCCCCTTTGCTTTGACTTCTGGCTCGAGCCATACGATATTCAGCTTTGGGACCAGTTTTACAGTGAAGCCTTAGGTAAGAGGTTATGCTTTCCATTCTAAAGTAGTTATTAAAAAAAACTTCGGAAGTTTAAGAATAGTCTAGGAAAATGAGAGGACTATATTTTAAAACTTTAGATTCTATCTAAAAGTCTATAATTTATAGCAATAAACTGTTAGCAGTATTAATGGGGAAGGGGAAATGAGAAACATTTTATTATGGTTACTTTTTTCTTTACAGTCATCTAGTCATTTTGTAAGACACTTTGATATTTAATAGATTGCTATCAAAACAAAACAAAATATGAAACATAGTAATTAATGTCACTCCAAATCTATACTTGTATTTATATAACATTTAAAACACTTAACACTAAAGTGTTAAGAGAATCACACTAAGATGAGAGACATAAAATTTCCAAGACAATGTTCCATGCATGTATTGCCCTTGAAGACCTTCCAGTCAGACAAGATGTGGAGATGGAAGACAGTGATATTGATCATCCTGTCCCTTGTAGGCCTAAGCTAATGTATGTGTTTGTCTTAGTTTATAATAAAAAAGCTTAGAAAGTTTTAAAAAATTTAAATATGAAAAGCTTACAAAATAAGTATATAAGAAAGAAATCATTTTTGTATAGCTGTACAAAGTATTTGTTTTAAGCTGCTATTACAAAAGAATTAAAAAGTTGAAAACATTAAAAAGCTTATAAAGTACAACAGTTAAAGTAAGTTAAGGTAAATGTATTATTAAAGAAAAATATTTTCATAAGTTTATCATAGGTTAAGTTTACAGTGTTTATAAAGTCTATAGTAGTGTACAGTAATGCCTCGGGCCTTCACATTCACTCACCACTGACTCACTGAGCAATTTCCAGTGCTGCAAGCTCCTTTCATAATAAGAACCCTATACAGGTATACCATTTTTTAAAATCTTCTATGCCATATGAATGCATTACCTTTTCTATGTTTAGATTTATTTAGATACACAAATACCTGCCATTGTGTTACAACTGCCTACAGTATTTTGTGCATATAAATAATTTACAGACATATGTTTTATGGGTTTGTACCCTAGGAGCAATAAACCATACCATGTAGCCTAAGTGTGGTGGAGGCTAGACCATCTAGATTTGTGTAAGTATGCTCTATCGTGTTCACACAATGAGAAATAGCCTAACAATACATTTCTCAGAACATATTCCCATCATTAAGAGACACATGATTTTATGTAGAAAATATGAAAGAATGTACCAAATAAAACCTTCCTGGAACTAATAAGAAATCATAGCAAGGTTACAATATACGGGATTAATATGGAAAACTCAATCATTTTCCTATACACCAGTAATGAACAATTGGAATTTGAAATTAAAAACACTATCATTTATAATAGCACCCCCAAAATAAAATACAGATCTATATGAGGAAATCTATAAAACTCTGAAGAGCAAAATTAAAACACTAAATAAATGGACAGATATTCCATGTCTATGGAAAGACTCAATATTGTCAATGTCAATTTCTCCAAACTTGATCCAAGAATCAATAAAATCCTGATAAAAATTCCAGCAAGTTATTACATGGATATTAACAAACTGACTAAAGTTTAATGGCAAGGCAAAATATTCTGAACAGCCAACACAATATTTAAGGAAAAAAACAAAGTTGGAGGATGATCACTGTCCAATTTCAGGACACAGTATAAAACTAGAGTAATCAAGACAGTGTGGTATTAGCAAGAGAATAGACAAAAAGATCAGTGAAACAGAGGAAATCTATGGAATAGAAACACACAGACAAGACAGTCAATTAATCATTGTCAAAGAAACAAAGGCAATTCAATAGATAGATAGTCTTTTTAAAAATAATGCTGGAACAACTGGACTTCCACATGCAAAAATAAAAAAATAGAAACACAAACCTTTTAAGCTTCACAAAATTTAACTCAAAAATGATCTATCCATAGAAATGTAAAATTCAAAACTATAAAACTCCTCGAAGATAACATAGCAAAAAGCCTAGATGATCTTGGGTATGGCAAGGACTTTTTAGCTACAACATCAAGGGTAAAATCCATGAAAGACAATGAATAAGCTGAACTTTGTTAAATTTTTAAAATTCTATTTTGTGAAAGTCAATGACAAGAAAATGAAAAGATAAGACACAAACTAGGAGCTAATATTTGCAATAAACATGTCTGATAAAGGACTCATCCTAAATATTTTTAAACTCATCAATAAGAAAATATAAAACCTAATTTTAAAATGGATCAAATACATTAACAGATACCTTGAAAAAGAAGATATACAGTTGACAAATAATAGGTAAGCATATTAAAAATGCTCCATATCATTTTTCATGAGGCAAATTTAAATGAGATACCACTACACATTTTTAGAATGACCAAAATGTAGAACACAGATAACACCCAATGCTGGTGAGTTATGGAACAAAGACTCTCCTTTTTCATGAGTGGAAATGCAAAATTGTACAGCCACCTTAGACAACAGTTAGGAGGTTTCTTACAAAATTAAACATAGTCTTTCCATACTATCGTGTCCCTTGTATTTACCTAAAGGAGTTGAAAACTTACGTACAAACAAAAACTAGCAAATGTATGGTTATAAAAATTTTATGCATAATTGCCAAAACAAGGGTTTATGGGGAATACCTTGACCTTCCCAAAAATTGTTTTTAAGATATGAATTTATTTATGTATAAGTAAATATAAAAGTATTGTAAAGTATTAATTTTTAAACAGTGATTTAGAAATTATGTAAATTTGTTTACCCTCATGCCTTTGGAATGAAATTAATATCTTAGGGAGCCTAGAAATGTTGTCTGTCCATATCAATCCAGCTAACATGACTTACTTCTGAGAATTTGGTAACTGTCTCCCATGCAATTCTCACCTATATATCTCATCTACCTGAGCCATTTTGCCATAAATTCAGGCTACCTCTAGGAATTTTTTAAAAAATCATTTCAGTAGACTCAGATGTACGATTAAAATAATATATTCTTTCAGCTACTGTGGCTAAGTAGTTGAGCATGGACCTATGAATCAATCTTCAGTGGGGGGTGTGCAGGAGGCAGCTGATCAATAATTCTCTTTCATCATTGATATTTCTCTTTCTCTCTCTCTTCCCCTCTACCTTCCTCTCTGAAATCAATAAAATATTTTCTCTATATATACAAAAGCCTAAGCAACCGAAAGATCGAATGACTGGTTGATCGGCTGCTATGACGTGCATTGACAACCAGGGGGCAGGCACTCAATGCAGGAGCTACCCCCTGGTGGTCAGTGCATTCCCATAGCCAACCACCCGGTCCTTCCTCCAAGCCAGGCAGCCCCTCCCCCCCCAATGGCCCCAACTGGGGGAGGGGGCACAGCTGGCCAACCTCCCATGGTTCCTCCCTTTTAAAAAGTATATATATTTTTAAAAGTGGCTCAAGGAGGGA